TGTCCAGACAGTGAAATTATCAGGTAATGCCAAGATCTGAAATGTGTGCCAAGGAGAGCCTAGCCTACACCTGGAATTATTAATACAAGCTGTCTGTTTTTGGCAAGGTTGTAAAGAAAAAGCAATGCCTTATGCTTGCCTCCCTGCTCCTTTCCCCCCTCCAGTCTTTGATGTGCTGGGATGACAGATGAAGGGTTGACAGGCGTTTTTCCAGGGTGGTTAAATTCTCCAGAGGCTGCAGTCCAGTTGTAATGAACTAGAAGCTCAGAGCTGAGAGAGGGATTCTTTTGTCATATCCTTGATGATCTGAGCAGAGCCTAGGGCCTGCATGTTGTTCCAAAGAATCCACTGGAGATGAGAAGCAAGCTGGCTGTTCTCTGAAGGGTTGATCATACAGCCCTTTTTCATAGGCCACCCGATTGCCATTTGGCAGCTTCAAGGTCTTTCAAAGTCCGTGATCCCAGCAATTGGATCTTGGACTATTGGCAGACAGAGTAATGGCAGCCATTGACTTCAGTTTCAGAAGAGGTGCAAAACTGTTCGGGGTCTCAGTCAGCAGTTGACGGATGCTATCAAAGGCGCTGAGCCTTATCCACCTAGTAGATTTAGTACTTTAGGAAACTCTGATAAATGCATACTATAAACTGCGGTAGATCTGAAGCACCTCTGAAACTGGAGTCAGTAGCCACCACTGGTGCAAAAATGTACCCTGTCACAAAGCTGTGGTTGCCATGAATGGCCAGTTTACAGGGATTTGTGTGTGGGTTTTTATTTTATTTTATTTTTGCACTTCAGCTCCTCAACTGGCAGGGAAGGTATGGGAAATCTGGTCATTGTTATTTCCCAAAGCAACTCTTTCAAGCTCTGTGGCTAATATAAGCCCTTTTCAGGCACTAAAAAAAACATGGCATTTAAAGGCACATGGAGCAGAGAACACCCTCCTCACCTTTCTGTGATTGTTTGGCTTACGCCAAAGCTATGTGTCTGAAGAGAAGGACCTTTTCTGCCTCTGGAGGTTCTTCAAATGAGTAAGAACCATGATGTTAATCCCTTCAGGCTTGCATGGAGAGGCACCGCTAGGAGAAAAGATTTCCCTCTATAGATAAATTGAGGTAAGACAATGAAAAAGTGCGCTCCTCATAATGTGTTTAGGCAACATGATTACTGGAGGCCCAAACAGCACTTATTCTAACTTAATCGTCTGTTAAGGTGCACATATATTCATATTCGCTCATATTTCCATGTATCCTCTGTGTCAGGAATGGATGAAGAGAAATAATCTTCCACTGAATTATTTCCTTTGGTTTGTTAAAGGCTGATCTAACTCAGTTTTATCTACCTTGACAAACAGCAGCTCTTCAGCGGCTTCAAGCAGAACATTTCCACAACTCGGCTAAAGATACACAAAGCCTGAGTATGGACCTTCTGCACATGAACTATGGACTCTACCAATGAAGACAACTCTTCCAAAAAGTATACATGTGAAGCTTCCTGGTACAGTAGGGCTACTGTTTAAAGCTCTCTAGTGCAGGGGTGGGTGTCCTGATTCATTGGACGGCAGTTCTCACCAGCCCTCAGTATTGGCTATATTGGCTACGGTTGCTGGAGCTTCAGTCCACTAGCATCCAGAAGGCCAGAGGATGACTTGCCCATCCCTCCTCTAAAATCTAATGCAAAGAGTTGGTTATCTTTTCAGTCTTGCCTCTAAGGACCTTTTAGATGATGGCAGTGACCTCTGTCCTGCTAAGTAGGGACTTTATTACTGACCGATTATCCCTGGTACCAGATGGACCAACTGTCTGCTACCTGATCCTTTTAACTGGAGATGCCAAGCATTACATCTGGGACTATGTTTGCAAATCCTCTCTGGACAAGGAATTTCTTGGCAATCTTGAGAGCTCTCACACTGGTGAGAGCAAACTTTGGCACAGATTATTTCTTTGCACATACCTGTTCATTTGTTGGCGGGGGGGGGGGCAAAATTGTGGCATTTGCCCAGCTAAATTAATTGTGTGGCTCACTGAAAACCAGGATGATTGCTGTTTCGTTTAAGATTCTGAAGCACTGGATGAGTTGCACACATCCTTTTTCACAATCCTCCAGTCCTTTGGTGGCTGTTGTGGGTAGATGTTCTTTGCTTCTCAAAGTGAAAGGACAGTAGAGACATTTTTCTTAAATTACAGGGAACTTGACAGGCAGGGAAGGGACCTTTGTCTTGCTGGGGGTAAGGAATGTTGTGGGGCTTGAACATTCATCATCATGTTAGGACAACCTAAACAGATGGGAATGAGGAATATAGTGAGTGTTCCTTCCATCCTATATGTGACTTTTGTAACATGTCACAGCCTCTTTTTCTATAGAGACCTCAATCCTCTCCCTCTGTGTGTACTCTTTGTGTACAGGATGATGGAAGAACACATTTGCTTGCCCCTTTAAATTCCCATGGTGCCATTTTCACAAAGCACAGTATCTTCTATAGCAGATGCACTGGACTGGTATTGTTTCCAAGAAATGAAGAGATGGTGGTTCCCAAAACCAGGGGTTCTGTTATAGTCCATTGACTCATTCAGTGCTTTTGGGAGTTAGCTAGTACAGCCAAAGGCATATGAAAATTTCAGATTAAGGAGTCTGATGTCTATTTTCATATATTTCTTTAAAATGTTATATATGGAACTGTAGGAACTCAGTGGTGTTCTCATCTAGCTGGGATGGGGCCTTGAAGAACTACCTCTCCATATAAGGACAGAAATTCAAGAGGCCAAAAATCATGAGAAAAATTAAATAGAATAATCCCAAATTCCTATCAAGTCTGCCGGTATCTTGGGAAGAGAGTTAAAGAATTGATGTGGAACATTCAGGTTTAGGACATACTGTATGCTCCACATTACATTCACAATGAATAGGGGCAGCCCTAATTTTTTTTCCACTCCGAGGCAAAGGACAAAATGGCCTCCCTGTACAAATATGGACCAGAGGTGGCAGTTGAATCTTACTTCAATACTAGTTGTGGGATGGTATCTCCCATCATGCCTGAGGGAAGCAGTCTACCTTAGAGGGTTCCAAGCAAGACATCCTGGAACACACCACCACTGTTGCCTTGCCTTCGCTTCCAGCTTCTTAGGATCTGAGGTGGCTGCCTCAGTCGGCCTAAAGCTAGGGCTGGTCCCGCTTAATCCAATTCGTCTGCAGCTGCCAGATTGCACCTCAGAAGAATAAGGGCACAGCAGACAGTTTTAGAGAGCTGACTTACCTTTATTGCATACTCAGTACATTGAAGCACATTGGTGGAACTAACTCAGAACTTTTCTCTAAGGATGCTCATGAGGCTTGTCTTATTGCAGCTTCCCTGTGCTTGAGCAACTCTGAGCAACATATTGATTGTTGTTTAGGAGCTAAATATTGAAGGGAATTTTACAGTACAGTACTCTGAAATGTCTCAATGGAAGGGTAAACATAAATCTCTTCTGTGAAATTCTGTGCTTAACATTGGTTGAATCATAACCCCAACCAATTGTAAAATTTCAAAGGGTTGAAGAATGAATTGGGAGTTTTAGAAGCACTGTTGTTGTTTAGTCATTAAGTCATGTCCGGCTCTTCGTGCCCCCATGGACCAGAGTATGCCAGGCCCTCCTGTCTTCCACTGCCTCCCGGAGTTTGGTCAATTTCATGTTGGTCGCTTCGATGACACTGTTCAACCATCTCATCCTCTTTCTCCTCTTGCCTTCCTTTCTCCTCTTGCCTTCACACTTTCCCAACATTAGGGTCTTTTCCAAGGAGTCTTCTCTTCTCATGAGATGGCCAAAGTATTAGAGCCGCAGCTTCAGGATTTGTCCTTCCAGTGAGCATTCAGGGTTGATTTCCTCTAGAATGGATAGGTTTGATCTCCTTGCAGTCCAGAGGACTCTCAAGAGTCTCCTCCAGTACCACAGAAGCACTATACAGGGCAATAACTACATACAGCAGAACTGGGATGTATGGCATGGTGAAATTTTCTGGATTGCACTCAACCCTGAGTATGGAACTCCAAGAGGTTATTTCGGCCCCATCCCTATTGGTTTTCAGATGGGCTGTAAAAAGATTTTTATTTCATTTCCCTTTTAATTGTCTATAATTATGAGCTTGATCGTTCTCCCCACCCCCCTACTCTCATTGGATGTAAATCTCTGGTTCTAATGATGCTGAACGCTTAACTGTTTTAATGTTTATTGGTTTTTTAATGTTATTGCAAACTGCCCTGGGGGACTTGTTAGGGCCAAAATGTCTACCAAGATGGGAAATATCCATACACTCATACATCTGCAAGTAACATTTTCTATTAAAAACTCCTGGAACACAGAGCAAGCTTGAACTTTACAGAAACATGGCCCATTACTGCATAGACCCAGGAACATCTGGGCAGGTAAGGAAGGCCCCATCTGGTCCCACTGGCTTCTCCCAAAACTGGAGACATTCTCTGCTCCCTCCCTCCCTCCCTCCCTCCCATCAATGGGACTTCGGGGCTGGTCCCTTAAAGAAGCAACACACAATGAAAAGAAGATCTAGAACCATTGTAGAAAACAGGAATGTGGCAATCTCTTGCCTTCGACTTGGTTGTTTCTTCAAATCCCACCTATATTCCCCGCCCCCAACTTTGTTTTGAATTAGGTTGTGTTTTGTTTCTGCACTGAAATTCAGGCACATTTTCCTTACACGTTTCTAAAGTGTAAGTTTATTGGGGCACTATATCTTATTTACGTAACTCTTCCCCATTGATGAAATGGTGTATCTACATCTTCCCCCCCCCCCTTATTTCTGTTTATTTACAGATATCCAGTGTGGTGTAGTGTACAGAATGATGGACTAGGACTCGGAAGACCAGGATTCCAATCCTCGGAAAGTGACTGGGGGAGCGGACATGGTAAAACCACTCCTTAAATATCTCGTGTTGAAATCCCTATTAGGAGAACTATACGTTGGATCCAACCTGACAGGATACTGTATAACACCAACATCAGCAGGAACAACAAGAACTGTTTATTTACAAATGTGCAAGTTGAATATAAATTGGAGAGTGACAGGATAAATACTTCCGCAGACAGCCACATCCATTACACCACACATCGGATCTCTTGAAAGGTGGCCAGCCTCTATACAAATACCTTGCCTTTTATCTGCTTCTCCTTCTAAAGTTCTTGACAGCAATCTGTCCCCTATTTCAAGGACACACAGAAAGAAAGAAAGAAAGAAAGAAAGAAAGAAAGAAAGAAAGAAAGAAAGAAAGAAGCGCAAAAGGACATCAACCTGGGAGTTTAAAAGGAAAGGTACTCTATAGTTAATTCATAGAAATTAATTTGCTTAATTAGAATACAAAGAAGCAGTTGTGTGTGGTTTTTTTTTAAATAAAGGTAGACAGTCAGGCCTGTTTTTCTGCCCAGTTCACAACAAACACAGACCTTTGGAGCTTAACAGTCTGCCCCTTTCTGCTTGGCATTTATGATAGCCACCAAGCATGTCCTCCTTAAGCACATCTTTTAAGATTCATTATGTGAATATCCCAGGACTCTGGCCAGGTATTGTCTTAAAGCAAATGGGCAGTCCTATTCCTGTTCATAGCCCTATTCAGAGAAATTCAGTAGCAAATACCATAACAATAGGTACCGTATTTTTCACTCCATAAGACGCACCGGACGTTAAGATCTTTTAAGATTCATTATGTGAATATCCCAGGACTCTGGCCAGGTATTGTCTTAAAGCAAATGGGCAGTCCTATTCCTGTTCATAGCCCTATTCAGAGAAATTCAGTAGCAAATACCATAACAATAGGTAATTTCTTGGCTTGTTTCATTGAGTGAAAGTACGAACAGAAGCTAGATTTAATTTGCCAGCAATGTCATTTTAAGGAATTGGCAGTAGCATGAGAAATTGCATTTGATTGCTCTATGTTTACATTAGTGAAACATTGCTAACTTCCCCCATTGTTTGTCCTCCAGGAACTCATCCTTCTTCCCTGGCAACTTTGACTGCAAGAACATGTTGAGCGTCCAGGGAGCTTACGTACAATGGTAGTCATCTCCTTAAGAAAAAGGACTGAACATTCTGGAACAGTAAAGAAAAGTCAATTGTTCCTGGCTTTGTAGATCTAGCTTTCTGAAATGTTGAAATCAGAGGCAGATCTCCATTAAACAGGATCATTGCTGAAGTTTTCTAAAGCTAGGTCGTTCTGCCCTGGACAGACGACCAGGTATTTTGGTATTAATTGCTGCCATCATCATCCTATTTCCAGACACTTTGAACTCGTACATGAATCACTCTGTTATTAGAATCACAGGTTAATGCATTTTTAAAAGTATATCCAACCTTGGGTAACCCAAGCATGTTTGAACTACAACTCCCAGAAACTGCAGCCAGCACACCTGGTGGTGAAGGGTTCTGGGAGTTGCAGTCCAAGAACTCCTGTGTTACCCAAGGTTGAGAACCACTGTCCTATAGGATGCAGTATCAGAATAGGAAGGACACTGCTCAAGAAATGCTTATGAAGTTCTCAAAGGTGACTCTGAACAGCAGGACTGGAAAGCTGAACAAAATGGAGTTTTGATCTGATCTGCATTGGCTCTTCTTAATGCCAAGACTGCGGCTCAAATCTACATCCTTCTGTTTCTTATTCAGCAACATATGGGGAGTATTCAGCGATCGGCCCTTTCAGTGGTCTTGCTTTCCATCGTATTTGGAAAACAATGGTCAAGACATATAATGACTATAAGTGTATAGAAGGTAATAGGTATGAGCAAATAAGTTGGTGGAAGGGCATTATTTCTCCGGTAATATATATGAGATGCCTTGATTCTTAAGCATGTTTACTCAGCAGTCGGCTCCACGAGTCTTAGTAGAAAAGTGTGCCTAGGAGTAAGGGCCCTTTGGAATACAGATGCAGGTCATTCAGGGGAAAGAGTTCGCTGGCCCAGTCCTTACTGTTCCAGGCTTGTCTTCAGAAATGAATTAAAAGACCACATGGCAGGACATGTGGGTATGTGTTCCACATTTCATTGATGTTTTAACTTTTGCAAAATACACTGATAATACATAACTAGGAAATATAAGGATACTTTAATAAATTGATTACTAATTAGTGAATTCCATGATCCAGGCCGAACTGCCTACAAACAATGAAACTGGAGGGCCTGTTATTTCTGCCCGAGGACATTCTACTGATTAGCACACCTGCAGTGTCAAAGATGTGGAACAATCAGAATTTGAAAGGTTATCTAGAAAACTAAGCCTTTAAATGAACTGCACAGCTTTCTGTTAAATTAGGTCTTGAGGATCATTTGAATTCAGTGTAAAGGTAAGCTTCCCCCCCCCCCCCCCCTCCTCCCCCCCCTTCTGTTCTACACTTTTCTG